TCTTAGTTACTCTCCATGTATCTTGATTTAAGAATGGGGCTGTGTTTAAGGGCAAATGTGGCAATGACTCTGTTCCATCCCACTTTCAGAAATGAACTACATTAGTATTTGGTAAAAAAAAATGTCGAAAGAATAAGAAGTTGTGTAAAAGTAGACTTCCTTCCCTTAGCTATTGAGTTGAGCATTAATGCACATTTTAGTCTTGTCATTTCAAATCTGAAATGTATACTCATAAGTAGACATAAAGGAGTGCATTTATATAGAAATATTTATTTAATCTGAAAAACAACATTAAAAAAAGTCTGTTTTTACAGCAGAGATGAACATGTTTACAGCTTGGTACAAAACAAACAAATAGGTGTGATTAGCTCATGTCTCGATGGACACACACTGTACGGGGGGGGTGAATGTTTTGATCACTCATCAGTTTTGATTTGATGAAGGATAAGAGTTATTCACAATAAGGCGTGTAGCTGACCAGCTTGACAGGCAGGTGCGGTGTAATGGTTTGTCAAGAGGCTTAAAACCCGCCTCAGCTCTCAGTCTGTGGGTGACATCACTCAGGCCATCCGGGGAGACCTCCCTCACAGCGAGCTGTTGAAGAGAAGCAACTGAAGTCCACCCAGAAGAACCAACAAATGCAGATGTTGTTGAGGCTCAGGTTTCTTACTCTGTCTCTGCAGCTCTCTGGGCACCTCGATGGACAGTCACCAATAATCCACACTGTGTCTATAGGAGAAATACAAAGGTGTTCAATTAATGCCTCAGACAACACAAAATGTACAGTTAACTACATGTGACAGCTCAGGCTGTTTTTTTTGTTATTAGCCACATCTGCAGGAATAATATTGAACAAGGTAGCTGCAACTCATCATAATAGATGCCAGTCTTAAACACTATTTTTTCTAATACTTAAAGTTTTTGGTGTGAAGCTGACACTGTCCACAGACTCCATGACTTCACGGGGTTCAATAGAAAACAAATGTCTTATAATAAATACTAAATATTAATTTTTCAATTGTCATGTTCACCTCATCGCTGTTGACATCAGTAAATATAAGACACAGACATTCCTCTTTTTGTCAGAACAGTATCATGAACTGTATGCTTTGTAATATTGATTTCTTCTGGATGTCTCATTTATTTACAGTTTATGGATAAAACTTTGTTAATGTATTTCTCTGCTAACACTGACAAAGTCTAACTGCTGTGACAAATAACTAATAACCATAGTTGTATATTTAAAAAAGTGTAGTTTTAAGACTTTAATTAAATATTTGGGTTGAATATAATTCGTTTTAACTGTGTTGTAGAAAAGTTAAATGTTAACTTACTGTTTGTAGAGTTTTCTCAGGACGAGCAGGAATAGGGGACGATAGCAGCCTAGCTGTTAGCTATGCTGTCAAGTGGACTGCTAACGTCGAGCTGAATGGGCGGAGTTAAGTCCCGCCGGTCCCGCCTTACTGCTGTAGCTAGGTTGATCTGAAGTTAGGTTGAGACTGCAAATCCAATATGGATGCGGCCGTCGATTGGACTCATTTGCTGCCTATGTAACAGACGGGTCAGGGTTCGTCCAGTAATATTTACTATTAATATTTATTTACAGTCTATGCTCAAGAGACATTAATTACTAATTTTGTACATTTTACATCCTAGAATGTTTCCTCTCTTGCATTAACCTGTAAACAGCTGCAGAGATGAGACTGACTAAACCTGAGTCAACCCCTGGATCTTTTAAACTAATACTTCGAATCAGTGGCTTTGAGGGGCCAGTAAATCTCATCTTGCTCACGGCATTATTAATACTGCCATATTGTGGTGTGTCAGTACTAGTGTTTCCCACACCTTGAATGCTTTTGGTTGGAATTGTAATCAAGCCCATAAATCCGTGTATAAATCTTTCTTTGTTATGTATTTGCCGTTCATACCTTAAAAATATAACACTCTCTGACTTAAATGGAGCTGTCATGCAGAACACAGATTCTCTGCATCTGTCGCTCACACACTCAATACACACTTTGCCCTTCTCTCTCTCTCTATCTCTCTCTCTCCCTCTTTTTTCCTTCTCTGCTTTTTTCTGCTTTATGCGCTCTCCATTAGGAAGGCTGTCAGTGTGCCATGGTGCGACTATAGATTGTCACGTCAAAATAGCCCTGAAACCTGTCACCCCCCCCCCCCTTCCTTCCCACTCAGAGAGCAGGGCCTCTGTGAAAGCTATTATACGTTTCTCTGTACTACTGATTAGCCAGCGCTCTCATTATTACTGATACAGGTCCTGCCTTTGAAATGGCATGACTTGGATAGGATAAACTCATTTGTAATTCATATCCAGAGGCCTACTACTTCCAAGGAGAACAATACGAATAAGAATCATGCTGTTCTTTGTTTATTTATTTATATATTTTGCTTACTGAGTTCATTTTCAGAAATTTCATGTTCTGGGTTGGGGAGAGGCTTGAACACTCGAGCAGATGATGCAGTTTATAATCCAAGGCTGCACCCGTTTGCTCGACATTGTCAAATTCTCGGCTCATGGCTATTCATTTGTCAAATTGACTTAAGAGGGCATGATAGTCTCACCCTTGAGACTTCATCTTGTTTCCTAACACTTCAAATGATATAAGAGAACCCGTCAAAGCCGAGTTTACCTGCCAACGCTAAGATATGGGCAAAAAAAGACTGGAATAGAAATGACATCAAGACACAGGAAGCTTAAGAAAAGATTTATAATAGCTCATTTGTTCAGATTCATCTGGTTCTTCTGTCAACACACTTCAAAAAGCTTTGCACCGATAATAATTTGTCATGTTAACTACCAGGCTTTCTTTTTCGCCTGACTTTTTCTGTTCAACATGTGCTGGCCTTAAGCAAAGTTTGCATGAATATCCAACGGGAGACTTCTAAAGTTTCCCATCCAATCCCAATCCAAAAAAGTTTTGACAGCCTGGCTGCAATTGTACAGCTCAATGTTTAATAGATGAGACAGCTATTGGCAAGCCCTTGAGTTATGAAACCAATAACCCTGCATCAAGGCCTCGTCATTTACATTTGGCCCCACAGGGCAGGTTAGTGCGAGAGAGGTTTCAGATGGCAGGAATATGGCGCCACATTGTGAGTGCTGCCAATGAAGTAATCTACATTTGGTTGATTTGATTTAAAGCTGCAGTTATCGCCATCCGTCCAAATGAGATAAATAATGAGGAGAAAAAACAAAACAAAAAAACAAATGGGGGTAAAGCACACTCTCTGAATTAATTAGTGCTTTAACTGAGTGATTAATCTTTACAGGCTTTATTTCTATTGATATCTTTTGTTTGCTGAATCCCCAAAGAGTGAATACACTAACGTCTACAAAGCTTCTCTGTGTCCTCAAAGAGACAACAATGGTAATGATGAATGGGGCGCTGAACACACGACAAGAATACATGCGCTCTATGATTATGAAACATTTTGCTAATTAGTGTTTTGTGCATAACAGTCTTTCCAGTACTTACTTGAACTGACCCATGATAAGGGGCACAGCACAAGTGGGTATGATTATTATTAGGAAAGCAGTTTTCAATGTAATGGAAGTATTGGGTAATTGAAGTTACAGTATGTCCCAACTACTCAAAAAAATAAACAACTGAAAACCCATTTTAATTGGTAAAAACTAAGCAAAAAATTACGATTGTTGTGATACATATCTTTCTAAGGGTCAGATTATTTAAGTCAACTATTTAATATATTTTCAACAGTCAGCTGCCAGTCTACATAGTACCAACAGTATTGACACAGAGGCACTGAAAGATGAGTTTTATTTCTGTATTTTTATTTTAAAAGGGATTTATTTGAACTTTATGGTCGCTCAGATCTCTGGGGTCTGTCGCACTTTACTGCACTCATTAATACGAATGTGAATACAAAACTATACTGATGTAATACCCAGCAAACGTACGATGGCACCCCCTGAGTTACACTATAAATATAAATAAGTTAATGCTTATAAACATTGGAAACCTCAAAATGTATTTTAATAATTAAGCCAAAGAGTGCAGTGTGAATTAGACTGCAGCGGTACCAATGACAAGGGTCAGATTATCATACAGGGAGCCAATGAATCATACCCAGCCAAGCAGGAATCATCAATGTAGTCATGCAAACACAGTTGTGCATTTTAGAGCGTATCAAACTTTTGATAATTGGCCATATCAATTGGGGAGTGCAAAGACCAACTCTAAATAATTTGGCTCACTTAACTTTTGATTTGTTTCTAACACTGTGTGTCATTCAGTTCTGTTTATTCAAAAGTATAAAATCATTAATACCGTAAACAAATCAGGAAAAATACTGTACTTTTTCTCTTTTATTCTCTCCAATAATTCAGCTCAGGATTCAACCCGCAAGTGCTTTCATGTGTGTATGCATGAGTTAGTGTCAGTCTATGTAGTGTGTAGACTGTATGCAGGCTTTTTTTATTTTTTTACACAGGTTGTGGAGCTCTACCTTGCAGCTAGTCTGCAGTGCTCTCCAGTCAGCTCAATGAGGATTCTTCCTGTAGGGGACATATTCAGAATTTTAAGACCTCAGGCTGCCCTCAGGACCATCGAGAGCAACAGCATAATCAAATCAAGCCCCTCCCCTCTCCCTGGCCTTCCTTTTTTGTTTGCCTCTAAGACAGTTTTATTCATTAGTGAGGTCATGGTCAGTGAGGTTAATTCTTCACTTTTTTACTGAACGTGTCTTCAAATCCACAGACTGATATATATTTTTGATTAGGTTAGTTGTTTTTAAATCACTGGTTTGGGAAGATTGTGAAGGAAAGTCTCTTTTGCACTGTTAGCATGGAAAGTGAAATACACCAGAGGGAATCAATTACCCAGAACCTTTTGCTTTTGTGTACACTGTAGACATGAAAGCCAAAGTTGTGTAGCCTGTTACAAGTGTCTCTCTGAGTTAACTCACCTGTTTTAATAGTGGCACAAATCAGACGTGTTTTCCTCTTTTTTCCCCCCATGCAGGACCTTGCCATCCAAACCCCTGCCACAACAGAGGAACATGTGAGATCAGTGAGACCTACCGGGGTGACACCTTCATTGGTTACGTCTGCAAGTGCCCACCAGGCTTCAGTGGAGTTCACTGTCAACACAGTAAGTCAGACCCACCTCGTCTTTGTAGCTTCATAATTACTCTCTGCAAAAAAGAGACACCAAAAAATTAGTGTCTCGTTTTTAAATATTTACACCAAATATGATTTGATCATTGGCCTAGAAAGATTTTCCAACACCAATATCGACCTTAAGCAATGAAAAAACGTTGGAACAGCGGACAAGAAGTAAATCTGTGATGAAAGGACAAGTTCAGCAAAATGATAGTGGGTTTGCTGAAGAAAGGAAGTGCTGAACTTGCTTTCTTTTGTTGAACATGCTCTTAATAAAGGTTAGGGTGGGAAGGTTTTTGCTGCCCATGAGATAATATTTTACATTAGGAGCGAAGCATTGTCTCACACCCCAGTACAATTTATGTGCTGTCTTAAAATGAACTTTCTGAACTTTTGAAGCCTCTTAATACCCTGAAACTGAGCACAAGGGTAAATTCCACGGTAACATCGAGTATGACCAATACAAGGGACTGCAAAAATATGAGCTCTTGTTCTCCTATTTTTGGTTCCTCTTGTTCTTGGTTGTTGACTAGTAAGACAAGATCTAGTTTGTCGTTATTAATATTGTACAAAGGAAAAAAGTAATCAAAAATCAGCTGGATGACTTTTCTGAAAACAAAAAGACAGATTTTTCCGGAATATCTACACCTCAACACGCGATGGTTGGCTTATTCTTCTTGTCTGAACCAGTTACCAAATCAGAGTGATTTGTTTGACATTTTGAATAATAATTTGATTGCTTTTCTGTCCATAGCAGCCTGTTTCCCTTCTTAGCAGTCACTGTTACAAACAGTTTCCAAGTAAAATCCATGGCAGGTATTAGAAAGTGTCAAGTCTGTTATGTCAGTAAGTTAAACTTGTACCAGTTGGTTTGAAAAGTAATTGTGAATTACAACAGAGTTAGCATTAGCTAACAAGCCGCAGCAGATGTCAAACAGTTTTAGCATCAAACCTTCACATATAGTTTAGTTTGAAAAGCCTTCTGCATTATGTATAGATTTGGTAGTTAGAAAAAGCAAGCAGATTGTCCGTCAGTGCTAAATCCTGCAGAATAATATAGAGGCCGAGTCCTGTGGCTCCTGTTTGTTTGCTTGGCTGAGTATTGCATTAGCCGCACACAACCCAGCTGTCCTTCATCGCAGGTGTGCTTGTAAGTAATGGCTTTAACGTATCACAGTGCAAACTGTGTGGTGAGATGGAGCATTATTGGTTTGAAAGAAAAAGATGGATGGACAAACAGAAAGAGAGAGAGAGATGTTAAGGAATACTTTAGAGAAAGTATTTATATCTGTCTCATAATTCTGCCAGACTAACATCAAGGTTGAAGAGACAGCAAATCAGAGGTAGAAAAACAAAAGGGCCTTTCGGGGGTGACTGTCACTGTGAGTCATTTTTTATTTGTTCCCCAATCACATTTTGTCCCTTGTTAGATAAAAGGCACATAACATAAAAGGAAATGAAGCGAGTCACCATATCAACAGTATGTCATTGTGGTTGTCTCCAGCCAGAATTGTGAGCAATTGGCCAGCATTCATGTCATAATTCTGTTATTGTTTCCTATTAAGCCCCCAGGGTGGTGAGAAACTGATTCGATATGGGCTGAATACATATTCACTTGTGCCAATTCTCCTCACGGTTATTACAGCACAATGGAAGAGAGTGGGTGAGACAGTGACAGGAGGAAAGACAGGAACAATGCCGTATCTGAAGACATTAATAATCAAATCTAACGTCCGGATAATTCCGGCAATTAAACGATAAAACGCAGGCAAATAATTGTTCTTCAGGAATAAATACTTAGCTGGCTTTGTTACGGTATGGTGATGGCTTTGAATGAATGACGAGCTTAGTATAAAGGATATAAATGAGAAAGGAAAATGAATCTAGAAGTTCTGAAGGATACAAGACACAGCACAGAAACAGGGTTTGTTCAGTTTATCCAAAAAAAGGTTTGTAATGTCAGAGTTATCTCTGTTATTTGAATAGTTATAACTCACTTTTATGAGTAGATAATTATATGAGCCTTACTTTATTATATAATACTTTTGGTAGGCTACTGCTTCTGTCTATATAACTAAATTAGTCTTCTCATGGTTAAGCCAACAGCTGTTACAACAGAGAAAATCCCTGCTGCTTTGAATCATCGCTACACTTTTTTTCAATATAAATGAAGTGAATCCTTAAACAGAAAGTCTTTTTTTGATGGCATCAGGACTTTAATTTACTGTAGGATTAGCCTCTATCTAATGTGATATCTACAGTAATCCGGTGTTTTAAGCTAGTATTGGCCTAAACCAGTGTTTGGCTTTATATACAGTATACTGTCTGGAATATGCGTCAGTCATCCCTGTATTTTTACTGTTGCTCTTCGTATCTCCTCGCTCCGTCAGAGCCAAATCCAATTTCACACCTTTAAACGTTCCTCCAAATACCTGCACTACATATCCCTCCTGTTGGACCAGTTTTATGAGGCACAGCCTGGAATGATGTCGCACATGGGCAGCTAGTTTAAGTACAAGCTCTTTTAGACTTCTTTTATGGGAAGCTACTGCACTTTATACACTAAAAATGTTGACTTTTTTTATAACACAGAACTCAGCCTTCAGTGAGTCAACTTGAGGTGTTTCAAACAATCAATGGTGGTGACAGTATGAAAACATGACAGGTGTTAGAGTGACAGTTGGATTTCACTTAGCCACTTGATGTGCAGCTAGATATCACATTAATCTGCTTTAGCACCATAAAAAAGTGACTTTAAATGTGGAATTCCAAAGGTGTTTTTTTAACACTTTAATGTGTTAATGCGTTAGACAACCCAGGTTAACTTCAGGTTAGTGTCCCTTCTTTATTTTTTAGAGCCATTATTATATGAAGGTCATTCATCTTTGGAAAAGAGAGGCTGCACGTCCCTGCTATGTTTTTGGGCATGTGGCCAAACATCATAATGAACTGTCACGGCGTGAAGATTGGGAGTGATTGCCTCAGTCGTCATGGGGTTGCAGTCTATGAAGGGCAAATGAAGTATAAACTGTTTGGCTATTTTTATCGGATGCATTTTATGTTTCTTCAAGGAAAGTTGTTGTAGCAGCTCACTGTAAATGCTCTTGTGTAACAGGCCAATCTCGTGGTGTGGTTTAACAACGTAACTTAATTTGATGCAGTTAAACAACAGGCCCCTTTTCTTGGATTTCTTGGAGAACAGATGATGACATGCCACCCTATTAGCTCTTTGAAAGTGGAAACTTTTAGAATTTCAGTTGCCCCTTTTTCTTTATTTTCTTTTAAAGATGTCGGTGCTGTGTCATTCATTTAAGCCCTCACATAAAATGTAAAACACTTAACAAGACACTGTGCGATGTTCTTATCATGCTGGTGATGATTGCAACTGGGAAGTCAACATGCAATCTTAAGTTGACCAATTACCAAACTAATGGGAAAAATTGTCCTTAAAGTGCCTTGCATACATTTGAAAATTGGTCTTTTTCCACCCTTGCATGGTGTGCAAACGCTTTCAGCATTTTCCATCTTGGTCTTTGATCAATACACATCGTTACCTTTCTCCCTGAAACACCAGCAGCGCAGGATTGATTGAGGCTAAGTGTAGGATGTGTGAGATTTTTTTCCCTTTTTTTTTTTTTGAAACGCATTGCCTAGTATTTGATCATGTATTGACTGTTTCTATCCTGCTGTATTAACCCTGCTGCCTCCACATCTTCTTGCCACAGGATAATCAGCCACTGTTTATCGCTGTGGCCTGATGTAAAGCCGCGAGGAGACATTACTGTTAGTCAATGCACCTGGTACAGATCACAGACGCCTTTCATCAGCACATGGAAGAGAAAAGAGGCTCCATTAGGACTCACTCAGTTCTTACTCTTTGGTTCCACATTCAGGACAGCATTAGTGACCTGGTTTCTGTGTTTTACAGCTAGTAAGGAAGTATCCAGTGGAGGTCACATTTCTTTATCTAGTTTTTACTTTTCTAATGTTCCACAAGGCTGTCAGACTACTCGTCTTAACTTTTCATTGGGAGCACCTTAGGCAGCATGATTGGGTATTAAAAGGATAGCGGCTAGGTGCTTTTTAACCATAAACATTTGACTACAGAAATATGTGTTATGCAAGAGGTAGAGGCAGTCTCCCCAAGCCACTCTACAGGAACACCCACCTTTTTGACGAGCACTGCTCCAAATGGTTACCTTCACCTCCTCAAGCGAAAAATGACTTGCCCTTCTCAAACCTACCACTTCCGCACAGAAGGTGACTTTGTAGCTGCATGTCTGTGTAGTGAATCCACATGAAGGGATGGAGGGAGGTAGCTCTTGTTATTCGGCATATCTTTCACTCCAGCTGTGGAGGCCATCAAGAAAAGGAGAGTGGTGGGAAATTGAGGGGCTTGTTTTTTTGCTGCCCCCTCTGACTATGATTGAGGAAGTCGTTATCTCCCTCTAACTGCCCTGCTGTACTTTAAACGTCACTCCAGTAAAGTTCACGACAAGGCATGAAAATGTCCCTCTCCTTTTCTTAAATGTTAATGGCATCTCGCTGGACCTTTTAAATCCAACATCCTTTCACTTAGAAATGGAGATTTCCTTTTATGCAGATGATGTAGTGTTTTTTTTTTCAAAAGCAGCATGCCTTTGTGTTTTAAACATAGATATATTGATATTACAGTTGTTCTGAAACTATTATCAGCATTGGTCTCCGATACGATCTGAAATACATAGTGAGTCATAAGCGAGTGTGTAGGTCATTGATACACCACCGATTAGGCTGCTCAAATATCCACTGGTTTCAGATAATTTATTTGGTGGCAAAAGCAACATTTTCACACCAATATTCTTATTATGTATGGTATTACGTATCACACCAGTGTCAGCAGGGTACTCAGTGTTGGCAGATATAGAAATAGAAATTAATATTTGGAAGGAAAAAATGGTATCTGAAAAACTCTTATTAAAAAATCAAATCAAAGCCAATACTCGAGGT